TGGTGGGACCAATAGTAAGATATTTTTGGAGATGCGTTAGATCCGAAAATAATCGAGAACTTCGAAGGTTGTCCAATTTCGCTGAAGATTATCGCGGGCACGATCGCAAAATACGGGGGGGGGCAATTCGATGGCAGTGTATTCAAATCGAATAAGACATGTTCTGGGTCTGATTTGAACGGAATTAAACGCTAGGCGGAGGAGGAGACACTCCCGGTGTGCTTGCTATTCCGATTTTTCCCCGGAATTCCTGCCTCGCTTAGTCCTAGCGGATGCCTCGCAGGACACATCGCCTCATTGTGTAGCGCGCGCGGTAGCATGCGGAAAGAAAATGGTACTTGTCGTGACTCCAGAAACATTCAGCATTCATATCGAGCTCGATGATTCAATGTAATCCTTCTATTTTATAAAGCGCTAACTTTGTGTGTCGGTTTGTGTATCTGTATGTGTGTGTGTATGTATGTATGTATGTGTGTCCGTCCGCAAAATGAAGTGAGTGAGAAGGAAGCTCATGGGATAAACAAACCGCTAACAAATCGGGTAGCTTACAGGATTTGAGATATCAATGTTTTGTAGCAGGATAGTTGTGATAACACTCTTAGGGCTATATAAACACCTGCTTAGCACACTTCCGTTCATTCCACATGGTGCTGCAGTGGCAGCTGGAGGGCAGTGGAGAGAGGAAGGGAGGATGAGGAAGGGAAGCGAAAAATCTACCGTCATATCATGATTGTGTCCCTTCTACTGTATGAAACACCATTGTGTTGCATACGCGTCACTTCCAGGAGGTGTTGGTGTCACAGGAGGAAGGGACCATAGCGGAGGATAGAAAGCTTGCGCAGGAAAGGAAGGTCCCGGCGGTTGACGGGGGACTAATCTGGTAATAATATAAAATATGAAGTGGTTGCTGGAAGTTGGACATGTGAGCAATCAATCAAACATCTAACCTAGCTTCAAAGCAAATCAGCCATTTGTCCAAGTCTAGATGATTAAGCTTCCTTTGATTTTTTTGATGAAAGGTTGGAAATGGATTACAATGGAGTCAGTAATCCAGTGCCTCACCTCCTTGTAATCGTTGTCGGTTGTTTTCACTTTTGAATTACCACTATCCGTGTTCCCGTCTGCTCCTGTAGGCCACATGCAAGAGCCAAGGTTTACTGTCATCGCGAAGGCCGCAACGAAATTGGTGGTATTCACACTCTGTGTCCCCTATCATTTCATATCAGTTGCTAACACTTTCTTTCTCTCGCATTCTTGGTCCCTCCCTTATACCACGTAATATTCATGAGTACGAACATTCCAGTGTCAATGCGAAGGGCGTGACGAAACTGCGTTTCCCGCCGTCCAACATAATTGGTCACATCCAGCCCCTTATATACCCTAGAAATTTGAGCGCTCTAGAACCAAAGCGAACGAAGTTGTTTCCGGTCAGGCAAACAAACACACACACACACATGGACAGAACACACAGTTTCGACCGCTTAGCGGATTATATACAAAACAAACTGATCCCCCGTCGAACGCCGGACCCTCCTTCCCTGCGTAGGCTTTACATCTTCCACTGTTGTCTCTCCCAACTGTGACGCAAACACGTCGTGGAGGTCAAGGGTATGCAAGAAAAAGGATTTCATATAAAAGAGCGCTTAGACATAAGCATGACATGAGACAGAATGACATGTCACTACCAAACTACACCTTCGGTCTGTTGGTGACTTCTTTGATACAGGCGACGACGCCCCAAAGGGAGGATTTTACGATTAGAATGGAGGTCGAGGAAGAAGTAATTCACCTAGTTGAGTAACCCACGGACCTCCTGAGGGTGCGAACTGATGCGCAATTCGCATCGAAAAATTTGACCTCGGCGACCTATTATGCCTCAAAGTTGGCGGGTCTGGCGATCTCCGCCCACCGACCAGCTGATCACTCGCCGCAGATCTATACGTGGGATTGATTAGATAGCAGAGAGAGCGTGATGTTGAGGAGGGCACAGCGATAAGAGTCGCATCAATGCGCAAATCAGCGGGGAAGGAAGGGGTCCCATTTCTCGGGTTCTGGGCCGTTTCTCATGGTTCTTCCTTCTTTCGTGTACCAATCACCATCCCTGAGTTAATTTGAAATGGGTTGCCTTCCCAGCGTGAATTCGTCCTTTAAAGGAGCTGGGGAAGTTAGCTTGGTAGGGGTTAGCCTCCGTTACAATTGTCACGGAAAACTTTAACTTTTCATTGCTTACTTGCTGTGAAATCTAGAGAAGACGAAACGGACGTGCGACGTTTAGGAAACTGTAACGGATCTCCCCTTGATCGAGATGAAATGCTGTTTGTTTTCCGGACAATAATTAGGTGGTCGCAGGAGGCGTCATGCACCCCGGAAAATGAAAAGGTATCCTTTTTCCCTAGTCACTATTTATTCCTCATCTGCTTGAAAGAACTTTTTCAAGGAAATCAATAGCTGGTGCCAGAGCTACACACAAATCGCTGCATTTACGAGAGCTCATCCAAATATGTAAATGTATGCTATACGAAGGATCGGCTTTGGTATTTCAGACGTTCTGTGGATATGTGGCATGTTTCTCGATTGCCTCGATAGTTCGGGCGGGAAAATTCGAACTTCAGGACTGTCGCGCCAGCTTGTGAGTGCAGCTGACGCTAAGCCGTTTGAAAGCAGCATTCTGAGCCCTTCTTTTCTTCACTGGTGATCCACCGTACCTCGACCTTCACTTTGAGCATAAAAGTCATATCTAGTGATCGTGGAATGTAGATGTCGTCCACATGTGAAATTTATTCAAAAATTCCTGTGTTCAAGCTGGATGTAAACATCACAACAGAGAGAGAAAGGGTCCCTCATCTCAAGCAAGGAAGAACGGAACAATCATAGCTGAGGGCACACGACTTTTCGAACAACCCGTTAGACAAATATTGTCCGAAAAGAATGTATGGAGAAACCAATTTGCCTTTATTTCAGCAGGAACATACGACCAGATCATCTTTTGGGCTTCAAAATACAACTTGTGAAAGAACTGGAAGGGGCTAATGGACATGGTTCATCATCCTCCCCTTCAACCAAACCGGACCAGTGCAAAATTGGATCCGCACACGATGTTTCGTCGGACTGTGAGATCCACGCGAACACAAGTGGAAAAAAGGTTACCACTACAGATTTTTTTCTGCTGCTAGGTCGCCTGTTTCGTTGTACGTGAAATTGTTAAAACACTGTAAAGACTATCGACCAAAATCCATCGTGCTGAAAAGTCAGCCGAATTTTGCCTAAAGATGCAGCGGAGCCGACTGGAGTAAGGTTCGCTTTTGCTTGATATGTTTTAGCATTTGTTTGTTTTTCTTTTCGTGCTTTTCTCATCCTTAGTAGCTTTTCTCTTCGCGAAGCACTACCAGGAGAAAGAAAATGCCGAAGAGAAAGACAAACAAATGCTAAAACATATCAAGCAAAAGCGAACCTTACTCCAGTCGGCTCCGCTGCACCTTTATGCAAAATCAGCTAATTTTCGCCACGGTTTCTGCCACAGATGATGCCTTCCACGTTTTCCACTCAAGAATCAACTTGGGATTTATTCGCAAGCAAAAACATTGTTCCGTTGAGACATTAAGTTCCGAAGAAGATTTGATGGCAGAGCACGGCTTCATAAAAAGGATGTTTCTTCTGTGACACGGCCTTTGTTTCTATCGAAAAGCAAGGGGAGATCCTTTGGAGCTCTTCTCAACTCCATATCATGTAAAATCCCTGAAAAAATTCTCGAGCTCCTCGTGAATTTGGTCAAAATCTTGTGCGATTGCCTAATTAGTAGTTTTTGCGACGACCTGACCTTTTAAAAAGTCAGACAGCATTTTCTATCATACTGTCCCCTTGAGAGGATGTTAGCACAATAAAAAAGTTTGGCGAAACGGAAGTGAAAAATAATAGAAAAACATGAGGTGGAGTTATAATTTTGGGACGTCGGCTAAGTGGCCTTTTGAACAAAAATTATTAGAAAAAATTCCTGGGATCTCAAGTTGGAAGTTGATGTTTATAGGCAATTTCGTATTTGTATTTACACACTGCCACATTGGAGACTTTTTCTAAACATCTAAATTTGTGAGATTTTGGGAAATTCTTAGGTGGAGTTATAATTATGGGACGCAGTGTATTATGTAGCGGCTCAAAAAGAGTAAAAGTGTTCTCACAAGAACCTGTAATCTCAAATAAGTACCACAAATGTTATCGTCTTTTCTATTGCTACACTACAGCGCCGGCAAAAACATTGAAGTTTTGGCCTTTCGAAAATCAATTTTCTATAGTGTGCATTCTATTGTGCACCGCAGTGTGTAGAATGAACGTAGAAACCCTGAAGTATTTTCTACGCAAAAATAATATGAGTGCAGGACACATAGCACCTACCATTGTGTCTGTTTCGGCAAGACGAATGTGTCCGCTGTCATCAACGCGTTAATATCCTTTTTGCGTTCTGGACTAGTATGTTCCGATTTTAAAATCGCGATCCATTTCATGTCAAGTGCAGACCATAGGTGTTTGCAAAAGAATCTCGGTAGGACTGGACTTAAGGATATGACAGACAATGGGAAAGCGTGAAGGTTTCCCCTAACAATTTGTGATTCATCTGCTCATTTCAGAGTGTGAAGTTTTGGACAAGAGGTGACGACAAAAAAGAGCAATCAAAAGGAGAAATGATAATAGTTAAAGAAGCTTCTATGCAAACAGCAGTGAGTTTGATGCTGGCCAAAAGCATAGTTAGAAAAAAGGTCGATCAATGTGCACATATGAGCTCTCACGGGCCACGGGTCAATCCTTCTGAGGCAAAAATCATGACCTGCAAAACTGTCGCCACGTTCAGGTACAGCTCAGCTTAACAGGGTCTTAGTTGCAAAGCTGTTTGAAAATCACCAATACATCTGTGATGGAGCTATTGAGCCATTCCCAAATGACGAGCAATGGGTGATTTTGTATGACGTTTGAGTTTTCGACATCAAGCTCCTGATTTGCTCAAAAATTTGTCATAGTGACTTGCCTCTCCGAATACAAATTCCACCCTTTTGGGAGGAGTAAGCGTGGCCTAGTGATACGTGCGCAGTCTTACGCCTAGTCCAAGTGACCACAGGCCGCGTTCATAGTTCATCACTTCAGCGATCAGGGCAGGTGGCGATAGGATATTGGGTCGGTAGGATTCAGTATATTCGGCCGAAGAGACTGAAAATGTTGAGCAAGTTGGTAGGAGATTAGTAGGCTAGACGTTCCAGGTCGAACTGATCAATACTGAAGTGATAACTTAAGCGCTGTTTTGTGATTTGCAACTGCTATCCTGATCTCTTAATATGCTGTCCTCCCACAATTTCGACCTAGTCCATACTCGCCTCTGATCAGACGGGTCTACGGATTTGACTGGCGGCCGAATTGATAGATGGATAAGCTGTTCCAACATACTTCGCTGGAACTCAGCTAGCATGCTGAGAACAGCTTATCGCCACTTCTGTCAAGCCTTCATATCACATGACCGCCTCATCAGATACGACTCGAATCGAATTCGACTGGGATGCTTGACTGTACGTATATTTTGACCAGAATATCCTACTTTCCTACTATCCTGATCCACTTATTCCCTTATTCCTAAGCAGCCATGGCGCCGCACGCATTGCGCGCACAGCAGACTTCTGCGGGGAGTTTTAATGGTACGCCGGAAATTTTCAAATTTGGCCTTGATAGTCACCGAGATATCTGACTGTTAGCTAAAATTTATACGCGCCATTACATCGACGGCTTATCAACCATCTTTCTCTCAGGCGTGTCAACCAACTAATCCTCTTTTTTCGTCTCGAACGGTTACGGACAGAATCTTCGATAGCGCAAACTCCGCCTATTTCGGTGCGTGCCCCGCCTACCAATAGCATTTGCCTCCCTCCCTTTCGCCGACCTCTGCCCCTTTTTCCCGGTCTCTGAGACCTCTTGGAACCAAGTTACGACACTTGGCGAAGCCGTATATTTTTTCTTTTATCGCTTCTAGGGGCGGAAGTGGTGTAGTGGCAAGTGGCACGCTTACCACGCGAGCGGTCCGGGATCAAATCCTGGGTCGTGAGTCGCCCGGGCCAACCAAGCCTTCCATCCCTCCGGGGTCGGTTAATTGGTACCAGACTTGTCTGGGAGGATAAAAACACTGACTTGTACATCGGCTGGCCCCCGCAAGTCATTGTATAGGCCACATCGCATTCAAACGCCACTACGAATGTACAAATGGAAGTAGAATGCGTGCCGCATCCCAAAAAGGGATTGATCAACGGCAAATGCTTTATCCTTTATCCTTTTATCGCCTTCTCTCGCTGTCAACGGTCCGAAGTAGTCAATTCCCGCGTTCTCGAATGGTTTTGCTCTTACAACTCTCATTGCTGGTAATGGCCCCATCGCCGGATATCGGAATGGGAGGTTGTTTACCTTTTGGCACTGCATACATCTTCGAATATAACTTTGCACTTGCTGTCTCAGCTTGGGAATCCAGAATTGTTCTCTGATTTTCGTCATGGTGTGCGATGTGCCCAGATGACCTGGAAGATGGGCCTGTCGTATTATACACTGCGCGAGTGGTGTCTTCGCGGCGATGAACAGTGGTTTCTTCCTACTTTCAGGCATGTTGGCATGTTCAAATCTTCCATTGCATCGCAACAACTTCTTCTTATCTTCCTGCAGATTCAAATTTTTCGTTGATCTGCGTAGATTCTCATTCACATGAATACGTTGGTGATTTCTGATGATCACTTCCATTGCGTTGCTTCTTTCTCGTGCAGTAATATGCGTCGAATCGTATCTCTCGCGTAATTCTGGAACTTTTTCTTCGATTCTTGACCTCAGACCAGTCTTTAACTTGCAGGTGACTCTTTGAAGGAATCGGAGCGCGTAGGCTACCGCTGATTGCGCTGTGTCCAGTGTATTGTGCCTTTTCCAGTCCAGCAGTTCTTCAGCGACCAGGTTAGTTGACGTAGACATGCACGTGCTCTGATTCTCACTGATGTCGATGCTCTCTCCTTCAACGTCTTCGGGAAGTTCGAAGGTGTTGTGGGGTGTCTTCCCTTCTTCCTCGGGGCATTTTAAAAATTCCGGCCCCCTCCACCATGAGTGTGATTTCATTTCTTCTGCTGTCAAACCTCTTGTTGCACAATCTGCCGGGTTTTTTGCGGTTTCGACGTATCCAAAGCGGACGGGCACATCCATGAGTCGTACCGTGTTCCTTATTTCGGTTATCCGGTTCTTTTACTAAGAACTCCAAGTTCCTTTCCGAATTGGATACGTGGCCAGCCAGCTGAGCGATATTTGAGAATCGGAGAATATCTTGATAGAGGTGATTGTGATTTTGCTCTCCAAAGCCTGATACAGCATGTATGCTATCCTTGTTGCGAGAGTTATTGCATTCATCTCCATCTTCGGAATGGTCGGCGAATCTTTTGCATTCGGAAGTCGTGATTTGGCAAACATCAAATGAGATTCGCCTCCGGCCACGAGATACGCACATGCGGCAAGAGCACTGCAGCTTGCATCTGCAAATATTGCCAGGGTTGCCCGTGAGTGTTCTGGTAGCACCATTCGTGGGAGTTGAATTTCACATCCAGAGACTATTGCCACAATTCTTCTCCATTCGTTTTCGTGGTATTCAGCGAGAATTGTGTCCCAGTCGTATTTTTGTCGCCACAGTTCCTGTAGGAAGAGTTTTCCTTGTACCATGACCGGTGTAAGCCATCCCATAGGATCAAAAACGGATGCGATTTGTTCACAAACTAAACGCTTTGTGTATCGTGGTTTTTCCTCCAACGAAACTCTGATGTGGATTTGATCGTCATTTGAGTCCCAGACTATTCCGAGAACTTTTGATATCTTTTTTGTGCTTCGATCGGTGTCCGGGATCTTGGCATTTACATCTGGATTGCTTGTTTGGAAGCCTCTCAGGTTCATGTTCATTTCCTTGAACATAGCTTTCGACTGAGTATACTTCTGCCAAGCTTCCTCTTCAGTTGTGGCCGTGAGTATGACATTGTCGACGTAGACGTTATTCAGAATTTCTTGTGCCAATTCCTTGTTTTCATGTGAGCAGAGGTGATGTTTTATGGTTGCCCCCAACAAGAATGGCGAGCATTTCAATCCGAATGGTACTCGTGTGAACCTGTATTCCGCGACATTGTCCCCCGTTGGCGGAATGGATGTGTCGCGTAACCATAGGCACCTTACAGCGTCTCGGTCCTGATTGTGTAGGTGCACTTGTAGGAAAGCTTTTTCGACATCCGCGATGATTGCTACTTGTCCGACTCGAAATCGTAGTAACATATGAAGCATTGTAGGAAGTAAGACCGGGCCTCGCTGTAGCGCATCATTCAGTGATGGCTGATCCTTCAGGTGTGCGGACGCGTCGTATACGACTCGAAGCTTCGTGAACTCCTTATCCGGAGTGAGTACTGCTTGGTGGGCGAGGTAGTGAATTCTGTTTTGTTCGTTAGTGAACCTTTTGGGAACTTCTTCGAGTATCCCCTTGCTGATCTGTTCCGCAAAATTCCGCTCATACTGCTCGAGAACTTGCGGCGTCTCTTTGAGACGTTCCACTGTTGAGCACAGCCTCTTGTATGCCAGGGACTTGTTGTCCGGTAGTTTGATTGTTCCTTCTGCCCATGGAAGCCTGACGTGGTATCCGTTGTGTTCGCGTGTAATCGTTGCTTCGAATGCTTCCCATACCGCTCGGTCTGCTTGTTTTTGTTCTTGGGCTTGAGTTCCCGAGAAATCATGTAAACCTGCTGATTCGAAGGCCAAAAAGCGTTCCCACTTCTCTCGCTCATTTCCCTCTTCGTCCTCTTCGGCTTGTACGACCGTCATGGTTTTCACGACTTCGTCCCGCAGCCGTCCGGCAACCAAGTAGCCAATGCGAGAAGGAATCAGCTTGATTCCTGACGGTAGTTGCCAGCTGCCTTCTGCTAATGCGCTGGGATAGACAACTGCATGCTGTGATTCACTATGAATTGAAGGTCGTCCTTCGTAAATTTGTCCTGCCTCAACGGCTCCATTATTGACTTCGGTGATTGCGACCGAGAAGTAGTGAGCGTTGCCCGAAGGATCCCACAATTGGAGTTTTGTGATTCCACATTGTTTCTCAATGGGTGCCTGAGATCCAAAAGTGCTGATCCTGAGCGTAGCTGTATCCTGAATGGATAGGTGTAGGCGATCGGCTAGGCCTTGAGTTATAAACGATCGATCCGCTCCCGTGTCGAGCAGGATGTGTACCCTTTCCTTACTATCCGTTGCTGTGCTCTGAGCGAAAGCTGCTCCCAGAAGGACGAAATTCTTGGTGCCTTCTTCCGTGTTTTTCATACAGAGGCTCGTTTCGTAACTGCCTTCCTGTGTTTCCTCTTCCTCTGTTGGTACGGCTGCAGTTGACAGAAGATTCTGTTTCGTTTGTCGGACTTCCGTCGCCTTGATTTTTGCTTTTTCGTGGTTATTGTCTTGCCGATTTTCTTGCTCGATGGAGATGTTTGAGCGCAAATCGATGTATGGTGTCCCTGTTTCTCGCAAAGCCGGCATGGGCCGCTGGTACATTGACGAGCCATATGATTTGCTGATCCGCAATTTCGGCATAGAGACCGTTTTCTTATTTCTTCCAATCTGTCTTCTCGCGTCTTGAACACCGGACAGTTCTTTGGAGGATGGTCTTTTCGATTACAGTAGAAGCAAGAAGTTGTCT